CCCCGCCACCCGACTCTGCCCCGCCCCGCCACCCGACTCTGCCCCGCCCATCGGTCTCTAGCCCACCTGCAGGGGGGTCTGCAGCTCCGTGGCCCCGCCCACCCGGCCGCGCCCCTCACCCCCTCTTGTACACGGCCAGCTCGCCATTCAGCGTCTTCAGCCGGGCGCGCAGGCTCCGCTCCGACGCCTTCGCCTCCTCCAGCTGCCGGGAGGGGACAGGGGCGCAGAGGTCCAGACTGAAGCCGAGGTCCCCGCCCCGCCGCCCGCCCCGCAGTCCGGCCCAGCCCCTCACCTCCTTGGCCAGGCGGCGGCAATCCTGGCTGCGGCGGCCGGCCCCGCGGTGCCCGAGGCCGCGCTCCTGCCGCAGCTCCAGCTCCAGGCCGCGCACGAGCGCGCGCAGCGTCTCGGCCTCCTGGCGCGCCGCCCGCCCGGCCAGCGCCTCCTCACGAGATCGGCCCAGCTGGGCCTCCAGCTCGCGCTTCTCCGATGCCAAGCGCGACACCCTGGGGGGAGGGGGAGAGGAAAGAGAGCCAGAGCTGGCGAGGGGTGGGGGGTCCCCATCATCCTCACTCCTCCACGGGTGTGGGCACGCGCCATTTCACCTCCCCCACGAAGGGGGAAGGCGGCCCCATCACTCCCGGCTGCCCCCATGGTCACATCATCTCCCCTCCTCCACCTCCCCAACATGAGGAGCGACACGGCCACATCACCCCCATCCATCCCACGGGGAGGACACAGCCGTGGGAGTTCTAATTCCAAAATACATCATCCATCTGTCCTTCTCTATACCCTGAAAGCCTAGCCCTGAGGCCCCAGCCTACCACCCTGGCCTCCCAGCCAGTTCTCATCGCCTCCCATTCACCAGAGGACTCTTTCTAAAATGCAAATCCGATCAGGTCACTACCATGCTCAAAACTCTTCTTTGAGAAAAACATGTACACACAAGGCTATTCGTTGCAGTACTATCTGTAATAGTAAAAGCGTAGAAATAACCAAAATGGATATCAACAGAGAACTAGTTGAATTTCTAAACTGTCAAAAGGAAAGAAGATCTCTACTTCCTGTCACCAAGTGATAGCCAGAATATAAGTTTAAGAACAGTGCAGAACAATGTTTGGTATGTCTCTTTATGTAAAAGAAAAGAGGGGGATTAAAAATTATATGTTCATATTTTTAAAAATATATAAGTATAAATCAAAAACTTTAAAAAGTAGGTTACCTATGGCAAAAGAAGGAACACAGGTGGCAACAAGGATATAAGTTGGACCCCTCTGAATGTACCCTCTTTTTAAGTTTTGACTTTGGAACTATGAAAATATTTTACATAAATAAATTTTAACAAAAGCAATCCCTAAAAATTTTAAAAGTAACTGGTTCAAACACATCTAAGCATATGTCAAAGTCAGTGGCATACTGGAGGAGCATTATATCAGGTGACAAAAAAGACTACTTTAGCAAGTAGGATAGAGCCTAAGGACAAAAAAGAATTGCAAAGAAATCTTAAACTTCATTCAGTACTCTTATTATTAGCAGTTATATTGGTATTATTAGGAGAAAGCAAGTAATAATTATGTTACTATTACTAGAAACTAAGATTTTCAGCATGAGAAAAAGACATACAAATCAAAAAGGTAGATAAGCACAGACATCATTTTTCTCTTTCTGAAAATGTATCTACTTCCTGGCTCTTTCCAGGAAAAAGATGTAAAAGCAATGTCAACCCAACAGCAATGAGCACCACTAATGACCCAACTGTGGTCTCTAAATACAATTTCCCACTAAAAGAAACCAGAGCTCCTTGGAAAAATTATTTATACCAGTTCTGAGGCTGGAAAGGCACAAGAAAGTCTGAGACATCTTGACATGCCAGAAAACAAGGAAGCCATCAAAGATTACTGGGGTCATTTCAAAAGGACGAACATGTAGGAACCAACATGAAGGTGTTCCTACTGGCCAAAGATAAGATAATACGAGCATCAAAAAGAATACCTGCAATGAATAATGGACTAAAACACACCTGTGTAGTTTGAATAACAGCCTCCCAAAGTACATCCATGTCCTAATCCCTAGAACTTGTGAATGCTACCTTACACAGCAAAAAAAAAGACTTTATAGATTTGATTAAGTTATGGACCTTGAGATGAGGGGATTATTCTGGATAGAGTGAACCCTAAATATAGTCACAAGTGTCCTTATAAAAGAGAGGCTGAGAAAGATTAGACACAGAAGAGGAGATGGCAATGTGACCCAGAGGCAGAGATTACAGTGATGTGGTCACAAGCCAAAGAATGATGGCAGCCACCAGAAGCTGAACGAGGCAAGAAATGGATTCTCCCCTAGAGCCTCTGTGGGGAACACTGCCCAGAGACACCTTGATCTCAGCCTAGAGGAAGTGACTTCAGACTTCTGGCCTCCAGAACCATAGGAGAATAAATTTCTGTTGTTTTAAGCCACCAAGTTTGTGGTAATTTGTCACAGCAGCTATAGGAAACCAACATAACATCAATTAAGCGTAAACTCATGAGTTAATAATAATACTAAAAACAAAACAAAACTCATTGATCTCCATGGAGGATATGAGGGAACAAACTCATTATTCTGACAAAAGTTAAAGAAAGGGAAAAAAATCAAGCATCAATCATGCCTTTCCCATAGGAAAGGTACCTCAAGGAAACTAAATAGTTGATGAGAGAATGCTTTATTTTATTGAAGAATTCCAGCTATCAAAAGCAAAAAGAATTCTAAAATTAAATCATTACCCTTTACCAACCCCTAATGAAAAACCTATCTAGCCACTGATCATCAATAGCTGCTAAAACTATATATTAACTCAGTTGTTCTCACCTTGCCTGAAAATTAAAATCAATTAGGAATCTGAAAAACATAGAGATGCCTACATTTTTGGCAAAACGTTGAATTTACGCTTTGCCATCAAGAACAAGGCAAGGATGCTACCTATCACTACTACTTCTCAATAATGTCCTGGAGGTCCCAGCCAGTGCAATAAGGCAAGACAAAGAAATGAAAGATAAGGATTGAGAATTAACAAAACAGTCATTTGCAGATGAAATGATTATAAACACTGAGAACCATAAAGAATCTACAGATAAATTGTTAGAAATAGTAAGAAAGCTGACTGAAGTTACTAGATGCAAAATCAATATATAAATATCGATTATTCATACATCAACATGATTTATATTTAAAGTCAAGAAACCATTAACAAAAGCATCCAAAGATGGAAAAACTCTAACCAAAAGTGTGATGGAACAACATTATTGAGACATTAAATAAGACCTAAATAAACGTATAGAGGTATGATCTGTTTATAGATTGGAATACTCACTATTTATAAGGACGTCAGCTCTCCCTAAATTGTTCTATAGAGTCAATGGGATACCAATAAAAATTCCAGCAAGTTTTATGTGTTTATATCAAAAATCCTCTTGATTCTAAAATTTACATGGAAATGCAAATTACCAAGAATAACCACAAAAATTCTTGAAAAGAAAAAACAAAAGTGTGAGGATCTGCTCTGCCCAGTATCAGACTAATTATAAAGCTACAGTGGGCCGGCCCCCCTGGCTTAGCGGTTAAGTGCACACGCTCCGCTGCTGGCGGCCAGGGTGTAGATCCCGGGCGTGGGATCTCTCTGGAGGGTAGCACCGCCCAGCTTCAGCCACGTGTTGCCATGAGAACACTGACATCACGCTGCCACTGTCCCCCCTGCCCCAATTGGGAATGTTCACTTGATCTGATACTTAACTATTTGTAGTGTATACAGTTAAAATGACACGTGTGTGTGCCAGTCATTTTCTGAGGGCTGCTATTCTAGAAAGGTAGTGTAGGAATAGGAGAGCTGCAGGAACCAGCCTGGTTCAAATCTTAGTTTGGCCATTTATGAGCTGTGTGACTTGGAGATAATTTCCAACTTTTCTGTGCCTCAGTTTCCACTTCTGGAAAATGGGTATAATGATGGTACCTGCATCCTAGGGCTGCCTGAGATTCCAATGAGTTACTCTTAGGATACTGCCTGAAAGCCTTTGGGCAGTGGGGTGGGTAAAGAGGTGGGGAAGGAAATCCAGATTGATGCCAAGCAGGGTGCCGGACTGGAACGTTTGCAGCCAGCCTGCAAGACAGGGAAACCAATTCCCACTTCCCGGGTGGTTACAAGTCAACAATGGGGGACGGGGCGAGATTTCAGGGCCGACACTCCAGGGCTTGTGCTGCCCTTACTCCTGCACAAGAACCAAATCCTCGGGGAAGTCTTCCACCGCAGCACCATCACCCCGCTTTACAGATGAGGATACCGCGGCTCCATCCTGCTCCCGCAGTCGAGACTGCTCATGAGGCCCTGTTCCTAGGTTTGAATGGCTCCATAGTTTCCTGAGTGACCCTGGGCAAGTCACTTACCCTCTCTGGGCCTCAGGTGTCTCATCTGTAAAATGGGATGGTTCTAGTATCCATGTCTCAGATGGTTGTTCCAGTTAGATGCGGACCACTCAGTGAATGTGTGCCTTTAAAACCTCACAGTGGGGGCCGGCCCTGTGGCTTAGTGGTTAAGTGCGCGTGCTCTGCTACTGGCGGCCTGGGTTTGGATCCCAGGCGCGCACCGATGCACCGCTTCTCCGGCCATGCTGAGGCCGCGTCCCACATACAGCAACTAGAAGGATCTGCAACTATGACATACAACTATCTACTGGGGCTTTGGGGAGAAAAAGGAGGAGGATTGGCAATAGATGTTAGCTCAGAGCCGGTCTTCCTCAGCAAAAAGAGGAGGATTAGCATGGATGTTAGCTCAGGGCTGATCTTCCTCACAAAAAAAAAAAAAAGCTACAGTAATTATAACAGTGCGGTGTTGGCACAAGGATTAAACAAATAAACCATGGACTACAGAGCACAGAACCTCATCTCTATATAAACACGATTTGTGATAAAAGTGCCAGTAGGAAAAGCACACTCTTTTCAATAAACAGCATTATGAGGATGGACTAGTCACATGAAAAAAATATTAAAGGATGTCTATCTCACCAAAAATCAGTTCCAGGGGGACTGTAGATATAGTGAGAAGCAAGACACAAAGAATTGTAGAGGATGATATAGGAGAATGTCTTCAAGACACTGGAAGAAAAGGATTTCTATGACAAGACATAAAAATTACTCACTGTAAAGAAACAATTTATAAATTAGTCTACATAAAAATTAAGAACCTCTGTTTATCAAAAGACATTATTAAGAGAGCGAAAAGGCCTGCTATAAAGGGGGAAGAGGTTTCTGAAACACAAAATCAACAAAGGGCTCAGACTATATGCAGAACTCCTGGAAATCAATAAGAACAAGATGGACCAGAAGAAAAATAGACAAGATAGGAGAATAGGCAATCACAAAATAAGAAATTCAACCCCATTGGTAATTAGGGAAATGCAAATTCCAACTACCAAGAGATGCCACAAAATGTTACCAGCACGTTGACAAACAGTCTGGGTTTGGCATTATCTAGGAGCTTAAAGACACATATGCCCTTTGGGGAGCAACTCCACTCCTGAGGCGGTCTACCCCACAGAGACACATGATCATTTACACTAAGATACACGCTCAAAGCACTTTGTGTGTGTGTATGTGGGTGTCATAACCCAAAATTGGAAATACCAATTTCCGTAGGACGTTTATACAAATTGTGGCAGATTCCTTCAATGAGTTAATATTCAGCAATGAAAATGAGTGAACAACAGCTACGTGACACAGCATACATGAATCTTAAATATGTGCTAGGCAAAATTAATCCAGACACAAAAAAGTACATACAGTATCATTTCACTTATCTAAAGTGCAGAAAGAGAAAATTAAATTCTATTGTTTAAGGTCACATAGTTCAGCGGCAAAACCAGGAACAAAGCAAGTGAGTGAGAGCCAGAGCATTTGGGACAGTGGTGACCCGGGCGTGGGGCAGGGGGAGGTGTCTTTCCTGGGAAAAGGAGGCTTTGGGGAAACAGTCGCTTTCAATTTCTTAACCTGGGTAGTTAGATGGATGCTGGCTTTATGACAACTTGTTAAACTGTAAATCCACATTTTATACTCTTTATTTTATGTGTATGGCATTTCACAATAAGAAACCTAAGTATTGAGAAATACGACTGGTAAAGTTATAAAGTTCCCATCAGCCCAGCTGCCGTTCACTATCACCCCCAGAGATTGTGATGTAAGTGGTCTGTCTCGGGGGCAGCCTGGACATGGGGATTTTTCAAAGCTGCCCGAGGTGACTCTAATATGCGGCCAGGGTGAATCGCTGCTGGGCTGATGGGAACTTTATAAGACAGGGATCCAGCTGTCAACATCCAAACTCATCAGTCCCAACACCAGGTGACAGTAGGCAAGTACACGGCACCACCGAGGAAGCTGTCTTGCCAAAAACCTGACTCTGATTAGCCTATAGGTCTAACAACCATGGAAATGAAATCAACAAAACCCAGACTGTGGGAAACTCTACAGGATAAATAACCTGGCTCCACAAATAAGTAGCATGAAAAAAGGGGGCTGGGGGACTGTAAAAAATTAGAAGAGATTTAAGAAACACATAGTCAAATTGCAACGTGTGGCCGTATTTGGATACTAATTCACACAAGACAATTACAAAAAGACATTTGTGAGATAATCAGAGAAGTGTCAACACGTACACACTGGGTATCAGATGACATTAAGAAATTTTTGTTAATTTTGTTGGATGGGATAACAGTGCTTTTTTTTTTAATGTCCTTATATGCTAAAGATACGTAATTAAGTGTTTACAGAAAAGAAATGATGTCTGGGATTTGCTTCTCGGGGGGACTGGAGAGCGTAGATCAAACAAGATAGGCAAAATGTCGATAACCATTGAAGCTGGGCCTAAGTACAGGCACATTAGACAATCGCCTACTTTTGCGTGTGTTTGGAATTTTTTCCTAATAAAACTTTTTTTTTTTTAAGTCTGTGGCTCCCCCACACTCTCCAAGGAGGTTCCCATTCGGCCCCTTTCAGCTGACTTCCCTCCTCCCCTCCTCTCCTCCCACCTCCCTCTCCCAGTGCTCCAGCCCAGCTTTTCTTTGCAAATGCGATTCCCTCCTCCTGGCAGGAATGACCTCATTCATCCTTCAAACATCACCTCCCAGGGAAGCGTGCCTGCCCCTGAGCCAGGCTAGGTCATGTCCCTCTGCTCTCTGTACATCTCCCTCCTAGCTTCCTAGTTGGCATTCCTCAGTGTGACTATCTGTTCTCTGTCTAGATCCTCACCCCGTGAGGGCAGAGTCTCCAGCTGTCTGGTCACTGTGTAGGAACCTGGGCTGACTGCGTCCAGCTCTACTCCTCTGATTACCAGATGGGTAACCTTGGGGAGTCTCACTTCACATCTCTGTCAAGTGGGATGATATAATAATACCTACCTATAAGGGGGTAGGAATCCACGAAGAGGGCTCAGACCATGTCTGGCACTGAGTAAGGGCTCAATAAACATTAACTCGTGCCAGGTAGTGTGCCTGGCACACCGTATGAACTCGATAAATGTTGGATGAATGAACAAATAAATCTTGGAGTCTTCCCAAACTCCCTAACTCCAAGTTGGGAGGAGGAAGAAGCAACTGTCCCACTACAGGCTCTCAGGGCAGAGGGCGCCACCTTGTGGCCATCCAGGGAAATACACACTTTCTCTCTCTCAAGGTCTGAGGGCTGACCCTGAGGATGAACTGAGGATAAAGCTTTACTCCTGGGAAGGGAGACCGCTGGTCCCCAATCAGCACTGAGCGCTCAGTCCCGGTCAGCAGCTTCGGACAGCGCACAGTGGCTGGGGAACCTAAGGGGGCTTGGCGCCGGCTGCCTGGATTCAAGGTCTAGCCTGGCCGTGTTACTCACTGTGTGACCTGGGGCAAGGTCTCTAACTTGTCTGGGCCTCTGTTTTCTCCTCTGTAAGATGGGGATGATAGTAATGCCTAACTCATGAGAATTCAAGGAATTAAATCATAAAGCACTAAGCAGAGTCCCTGGGACACAGGTAAATGCTACGTTAGCTACTGGTAGTATTATTATTATTATTATCATTATTATTACTAAAAATATTATTAGCCTTCACCAATGGGTGGGGCCTCCTCCAGGTGGAGACACAGCAGGCACTCAATGGACAGGCCAAGAGCCTCTGCCTTCCCCACTCCCTTTTTCTGTCCCCTCGTCTCACCACGCTCCACCTCACACAAGGCCTTTGCACGTGCTGTTCTCTCTGCCCAGAACACTCTTCCACCCTCTCCGCCTGCCCCACCCCAAGACCCCATCAGGTGCCTGTTACAGCATCCCACAGCCCAGGCTCCCTTTCCTGCGTAACCCCATCTCCGTCCACAATGACATACTCAGTGGTAATGTGATCAACATCTGTGCCTCCCGGGCTGACCACTACAGGGAACAGAGGGGGGCCAGCACAGAAGAGGCGCTGCATATCGCCCGACCTCCCACCCTGTCTTTGCACACGCTCCCTTTGCCTGGAACACCCCCGCTTACCAGGCAGGGTCCCCCACCCTGCCCGCTCTGAGTCTCCACTATCTACACACAGATCTGTCTCCTCCCCTGGACTGGGAGTCTCGGTCACCACTGTGTCCCCGGCACCACGCAGCACAAGGCGGGCACGGAGGAGGGGCTCAGAAATAACATTTGGTGAAAAGGTGGCCATCTTCCCTACAGTGCTGAGCGTGAGGTCCCCACAGCAAACGATGGGATGCGCCCCCAGAGCCGCTGCACCCGCCCCTCGCAGACTCACTGCTCCCGCAGGTGCCAGATCTCCGTCTCCCGGGTGTCCCGAGCATCCTGGCCATCCAGCCCTCGGAGGCGGCCCAGCTCCTCCTTCAGCGAGCGGATGATGCGCTGCAGGACCACAGGGTCCGGCTTGCCCTGGTACGGGAGGGGCAGCGGGTAGTGAATCCTGAGAAGGAGGATCAGAACCGTGGCATCTCAGAGGCCAAGAATCCACCCGAGGGTAAGTACCAGACCCTGAGAGCCTTAGAGTATGAGAACACACAATTCCAAGAGGCACAATCCTAGAGGCTGAAGTTCTACACGCAGTTTCAAGCCCCCCCGCCCCCACACACCTTGCACCCGTCAGCCACCCCTAAGACCCTCTTATACAGCAATTTTGGAACCACTGAGATTGACGGCCCTGGTGGCGTCTGAAGTAACTTCCTTGTCACACAGCGCTGGTGGAGTGGACGCTGGTGTCATGTTACTTGCAGCCAAGCATAATTCTAATTCAGATTCCACGGTGGAAGATTCTAGATGACCTGACCTGAGTCACCTCTGGGCTGGGGAAAGGTAGGGCACCTTGATTAACTGCCCCACCAGATGCTAGTCATAGAGGATTGATAACTTCCCACTAGAAAATCCAGCAGCTATTAACAAACAGGGCACTATCCCCTGGCTATCTAACAGCCATTCCCAACTCCCTTCTGCCTTGCTGCCTCCCACTATAAAGGCTAGAAAGCCAGACATTCATTTTCCCAGCTTCCCTTGCACGTTACCACTTCTGACCAAATATTATGGGAAAAGACACGTGAGCATTTCCGGGTAAATATTACAGGAAATCTGTTAAGAGTCTTCTGGGCACACTTTTGTTTTCCAGATAAAAACAGTAGATGCAATTAACAAGCACAGCCCTGGTCCTCTTTCTCTTGCGTTGATACAGATGCAATGCCTCGAGGTCCAGCAGCCATCTTGTGACCATGAAGAGATAAGGATGAGGTCAAAAAGCCAACACATTAAGATGACAAAAGAAAAAAATCCAGGAGCCTGAGTCCCTAATGAAACTGCTGAGTAGCAGCCACCTACCTAGACACCTTGTTACATGATAAACTATTGTTTGTTTTAAGGCACTGGTAACAGCTATTTTGCTACTCGTAGCCAAACACAATACTAAATGATACAGACATCAACAGTGAAGAGTCCAAAGGCAAGGCTTAAGCAACACCTGCACCTTGCCCTGGGTACCAGGGGTCAGCCCCGTGTCCCCACCTGTCAAACTCCACGGAGTAGATGAGGATCAGGTAACGCTTGGAGTTGAGCTGGGCCGATCTCGAGGCCAAGGGGCCTGGGCGGCCCCCCAGCTTGCGGTTCCGCAGGGACTCCAGGTCCGTGTAGGTGAGCAGGTCTAGGGTGACCGACTCACTGCTCTGTTGGGAGAGGAGGGGAGGAGCTGTCTTGTGGCCATACCTAGAGCACACAACCCACACACGTGAGCCACCACGCACCATTCTCCAGGCTAGCCAGGCTTTCCTACACTGAGGCTGATGATCAAGATGGCCCTGTCCCAGGTGCTGGCACAAGGGCATCATCACAGGGAGAAACTAGAAAGAACCTACATGCTCAACCACGGCGGACAGCTTAGTGCTGTGGCCCTCCAAGTGTCGTCTGCAGACTCCTGGGGGTCCCCGAGACCCTTTCAGGGAGTCCATGAGGTCAAAACGATTTGCATAATAATACTAAAATGTCATTGGCCTTTTCTGCTGTGTTGACATTTGCGCCGATGGCGCAAAACTAATGGGTAAAACTGCTGGTGCCCATCAGCAGAAATCAAGCCAGTGCACTAACTGTACTAGCAGTCGGTGTATTCTCCATCTCCATGCTGTCTCCGTGGGGGGCCGGGAGACAGGGAGCAATTAGCAAACAAACAAACCAATCAATCAATCGTAGGAAGTGTAACATAGGAATGTGCTTGATGAAGCTGTAAAAATTATTAATTTTATTGAATCCCGACCCTTGCGTACACAGCTTTTTACCCTTCTGTGTGACAACACAGGAAACGCACATTCCACAGCACACCAGAGTATAATGTTGTCCCAGGAAAAGCTCTTCTGTAATCGAGTTTTGAGCTAAATTACCCACTTTTTCATGGAACATAATTTTTACTTGAAACAACGACTGACAGACAAAACTATGGTTTTTCAGACTTGGAAGTCTGGCCGGCATTTTCTCAAAAATGAACCAAGGGAGCCTGTCACTTCAAGAAAAACAGCTAACCGTATTTGTCGCCAACAATGAAATTCAAACTTCAAAGCGAAAATTAGAATTTTGGACAACTTCTATGTGCTACCATGGGATTGATAGCTTCTTGAAGTTGAAAGACTTTCCCTAGAGAGATCAGTGAGGATATTAACAAATGTGACTTCCTCATATTGTATAATGAAATATGTCAACATGTGGAAGATCTGCACAACTCAGTGAACCAATATTTTCCAAATGAGCAATGCACGATGTTACAGAATGGGTAAAAGATCCATTCAAAGTGCAAGACACATCCACAGATTTTAACGTAACAGAATGCAAAAAGTTCATTGATATGGTTTCAGATTCCACATTACCACCTATTCAGTTTTAGTGTGTTAACAAAGAAGGATATGCACGATTATCTGGAAAAGCTATTAAAGGACTCCCTTTTCCAACTAGATATCTGTGTGAGGCAGATTTTTCTGCATATACTTCAACCAAAACATATCACAACAGACTGAAGGCAGAAGCACATATGAGAATCCAGTTTTCTATTAAGCCAGACATTAAAGAGATTTGCAAAAATGTAAAACGATGCTACATTTCTTACTAATTTTTTTTGTTTTAGAAAATATATTTTTTATTAAAATGTTATTTAGGTTAACATATAACAGGTTTATTACTGTTATCTTTAAAGGAATTCATAATATCTTTAAATTTTTCTCAGTTTTAATTTTTAATATGGCAAACAAATATTGATAACTATAACCTTCATAAACAGTGCCAACAATAATATTTTTTTTGTGTGTGAGGAAGATCAGCCATGAGCCAACATCTGATGTCAACCCTGCTCTTTTTTCTGAGGAAGACTGGCCCTGGGCTAACATCCGTGCCCATCTTCCTCTGCTTTATATGGGACGCCGCCACAGCATGGCTGGACAAGCAGTGCATCGGTGCGCACCCGGGAACCGAACCTGTGAACCCTGGGCTGCCGCAGCAGAGCGCGCACACTTAACTGCTGCGCCACCGGGCCAGCCCCATCAATAATTTTTAAGAGTATAAAAGGGTCATGAGACCAAAAAGTTTGAGAACCACTGGGTTAGATAAATCATGATGCATGGGTACAATGGAATACTAAGCAACCACTAACAAGGATGACAAACTCAAAAGTTGATAATAACAATAAAAATAGACAATACCTGCAGAGCACTTACTATGAGCTAGGCACTATTCTAAACTTTTTAGGTATAACTCATTTAATCTTCACAACACTATGAAATGGGGACTACTATCACCTCATCACAGATGGGGAAACTAAGGCATGAAAGGGAAGTAACTGGTCCAGGGCTCCCAGCTAGTAAATGGCAATAATGAGTCTTATGCTGTACTGCCTATAGATACTAAAATGTTAACAGTCTCTGGTGGGGGATAGAAGGAGATTATGAGGGACTCTCACTTTCTAAGTCACACATTACTACTGTCATACTTTTAGGAGGGCAGATTTTATCTGTAATCAGAGAAATAATGTAGTTCATAGTTTCAAAATGATGCCTGAATAGCATCCCTGTCATTCTAAGTTCCAACCTGCTCTTTTTTTCCTATCAATACTTTTAGCTACTTGACATTATGTGTTTTTTCAACTGTCTGTCTCTCCCACTAGAATGTCAGCTTCACGAAGACCGGGATTTTGTCTCTTTTGTTCCCTGCTGTATCCCCAGTGCCAACAACAGTGCCTGGTAGACTGTAGATGCTCAATAAATGAAATGAATGATTGGCAATATTCACTGATGTGACAAAATTTTTATGAAATATTGGTGAATCTTTTAAAAGCAGGTTACAGAGTACCTTGGGAGATATAGCAACTTTATAAAATTATAGATCTGCAAATACACACACACACACATTCACAAATGAATAGAGAAATGGAGAAATGGCTGGAGTGATTTTCATCAAAATATTAACAAAACATCAACAGGAGTGAGTATTAGGAGCAGAGTGATTTTTACTTTCTCCTTTACGTTTCTCTGTGACTTGAATTTTCTACATGAGAATAACTATCATTAGAATCAGAATAAGCCATTTACATCTGGGAAAGGAAAAAAGAAAAAGCCCTGTCCCTTCAACGGAAAGAGAAGGTAGCGGGTCTTGTATACATCAGATGGGCATCTACCCCCCCAGGGATCCAGGGGACAGAAACCTCCCCCAGCCCCCAACCCTGGCCCCTACCTGAGTGAGGGCCGACTCCAGCATGTTACAGAAGATGTTGAACTGTTTGAAGTTCCCTGTCTTGTGAGTCAAATCTTCGATGACTGGGTAGGGAGAAAAATCCTTCCTGAGGTCTGACCACTTGCCCAGCCCAAGAGCAATACATCCAAGCTCTCTGACGTTCCCCTACTCCGGGGCCTCTGGCCTGAGGGACGGGCCCTACACCCCCTCCCCACCTTAGAGAGCTTCTGTTCAGGTAGAAGAGGCAGGTGGGCAGGATCCTGGTTGGCCTCATCTTCTGGGAGAAGCTGATCCCGGGGACAGAGAGGCAAGCCCACCCAGGCAGGCACACTCACAGCTGGCATCAAACTCGCCCCGCCACTGGTCGGCTGTCATCCGGTCCTCTACCTCCAGCTCTAGCACCTGTCCAGACACCACCACCCGCACGGCATGCTCCACACCCCGGAAGACGTAGTCCACCTGCAGGCCAGCTGGCTGGTCCATGGCCAGAGCAGCTGGAGAGAAGGATGAGACAGACTCAGAGGGGCTCAGAGTCCAGGCTCAGGAGCTGGAAGGCCAGAATCCATATTTACCATTATCCACCATTTACCAGCTGTGGCACCTAGGAAAGACACTTTACCTCTCTGTGCCTCAGTTTCCTCATCTGGAAAATGGGTATAATAATGGCACCTACCTCATAGAGTTGTCATAAGGATTAAATTAGACAACACACACAAAAGCACTTAAAAGTGTGTCCTGCACATTACTATGCGCAATACGTGCTGGCTAATAGAATACATGATTTCCAACAAGAGAATCTTGATTAATACTATTGATTATTAATTGATGAATCCTTATACTGATTACATATTTATTATTCATTCATTCATTCAGGAAACGTTTGTGGAGAAAAATCAAGCTGGAAAGGGGGACAGAGTACTGAGGTCAGGCGAGACAGAGATTTTAAAGAGGGGGTCAGAGCAGGCCTCTCTGAGGAGCTGACACGAGCAGAGAATGGAAGGAGGTCACGGAGGGAACCACGTGGCTGTCTAGGAAAGGGGTCCAAGTCAATAGAACAGCCAGTGCTTTATAATATATCATCAATGATACACTGAAAGCATTTATATTGAATTCATAATTGATTTTATTAATTAGTCTGTTTCAAGCTTAAGTACCTTCTCACTGTGGGTTCTACCAGCAGCTGGAGGAGAGGGCCAGGCCTCCACCCTCACCTGGATTCTAGGGGGTGTTCAAAATGGGAGCCCCAGGCTGCGTGGGCTCATATCCAGGTTCAGTATGTGCACATGCACGGGCAAGTTACTTAACCTCTCTTGGAGCCAGATTCTATATCTTTAAAGCATGTGCCATCCTGGTGCTGGGGATATGATGGGAAACCAGATTATGTCCCCATTCTCAAGAGTGTGGCAACAGTCAGAGGTATAAAAATGCCAAGTAGTGGGGAAAGGGGATGCTAGGGGGTGGGGGTTGCTCTTTTAGCCAAGGTGGCCAGGGAAGGCCTCTCTGAGCAGAGGCCTGGAGGGAGGGAGGCAAGTGAATATCAGAGAATAGGCAGAGGGAACAGCCAGGCAAAGTCTCCAAGGTGCAATAGTCCTGGTTTCCTCTAAGAACAGCAAGGTCAGCATGAGGGAGGGAGAGAGGGGAAAATGATGAGATCAGAGATGTAACAGGGCAGCTGATCTTCCTGCAGGCCTTTATAAGCCCATAAGAGGATAATAGTGCCCATCTCCTTGGATTGGCCTAGAGATTGGCCTAAGGTTCAAATGAGTTAATCACGTTAAAATCCTTGGAGAATTAAGCCATGCCTGACACACAGCAAGCACTCAATACATATTGGCATCATCATCATCATCATTATTACTTTGTTGTTGTTTCTGAGTTTGAAGGGGACCACAGAGACAAGGCAAGTCCATTCCCTCCCCCAGTGCACGAAGGGGGAAAGTGAGGCTCAGCGAGAAAAAGGGCCCTGTCCAGAGTCCCAAAGATGCTCCAAAGACAGGGCCACCCAGGGATGCACCCAACCCAGATCATGGGGACCCCTCCAATGCCTGGGCTCCTTCTCTCCCCAGCGCCTCTTTTAGTCCTCACACTTTCCCCGGGAAGTCCTTCCTAAAGATTTGTTGTTGTTAGTGCCATCGAGTCGATTCCTACTCCTAGTGATGCTGTGGACAGCAGAGCAGAACCCTGCCTGGCCTTTTGACACCATCCTCTCCCCTTCCTGCGCTATATCAGACAATGCCCTGCTGCTATTCATAGGGTTTTCATGGACACGTTTTTCAGAAGTGTGTGGCCAGGTCCTTCTTCCTAGTCTGTCTAGTCTGGAAGCTCTACTGAAACCTGTCCACCACGGGTGACCCTGCTGGTATGTGAAATCTCGGTGGCATAGTTTTCAGCATCACAGCAACACGCAGCCGCCACAGTATGACAACTGACAGACAGGTAGCGTGGTTCCCTGACCCGGAAACAAACCCCAGCCGTAATGGTGAGAGCCCTGAATCTTAACCACTAGACCACCAGGGCTGGCTAAAGTCTGATATTGGAAAATATAATACTGTGAGGCAGAGAAAGATGAGCCCTGAAACTCAAGGTCAGAGATTTTTAACCTTTTTAGAGCCTTTGAGAATCTAAGATCTCTGAACTCTCCCCAGATATAGGAACAGGCCCATAACCTTTTGCAAGTAATTTCAGGGGCTCCCAGAACACCACCCCCAGGCCCATCCACAGATTCCCTTTCTCAAAGGCCCAAGGACAACCACCTGACCCCCAGACGTCTTGACAGGCATCTCTGTCTCTAGACCCAAGCTCTTAACTTTATTTGGGGGAGGGGTCTCAGGTGCTTTGGATGGGCTGATGAAATCTGGAGACCTCTTCCCCCTGAAAATTCATACTCTCGAATTTGTGCTTTCATTCCCTCAAGGGTCAGAGGTCGAGGTTAATAATCCCTGACCTATGGGCAAACAAACAGCTACACATATCAACATATCCCTCATCCCCTGGCCCCTAAGGCAGGCGCCAGGCAGCGCTGGCCCCGCCCCACTAGGTGTCCTACACCCCAGCCACAGGCCACGCCCCTTAGACTCCGCGAGCCAATCAGCGGTCGCGCCATCCCGGTTACCAAGGCACAGGAACACCTGAGGAGCCACGCCGCTTCCCTCCTCCATTCACCACCTCACTCGTGGTACCCAACTCCCGGCAGAAGACAGAAGAGGAAGGGGGTCTGCTCCACTCCATCCCCGCTGCCAACCTGGCCCTGCTCTCTTCCTTCCCCATTCCCCCACATAAACCCCCTATTCTCACCCCGAAATAGCAGCCCTTCACTAGGTAAGAGCCTTTCTGCATCCAACTGCCCTGATGTCATTAGCCTCCACCTCAGTCCCACATATGCCCCTGAACATTTTCCCCGAATTCAACCCAACCCTTACACACACCTGCCTCCCTCACCTCCACCAACTTCGCCCGCGCCCCTCCCCACCCCCTCCCATCCCCTCTTCCAGGAATGTCGTGAGCGCTCAACAATTGCTAATGGAATAAATTCCACACTCTTGACAGCTTGACCCTCCCTTCCTGACCCCAGCTCCCCAAAACTCATTCCCGACACGGCCTCGAGATTCTGCGCTCCCCTTTCCCTCCCCTTTGCAGAACCTCCCTCCTTCCAGATTCCGGCCCCGCCCCCTTCTACTAAGCTCCGCGACCAGCCCTCGCCCCACTCCCCTGCCCAAGTCCCTATTTCCATCCTGCTCTCCCAGATTGGGGGGGGGGGCACACTCCCCTTCTCCCTACACCAACCCCCATGTTCTCCTGGGGTTCCCCCCATATTCTACCTGAATTTTGCTACCCCCCATTATTCCGCCTGGATTCTGCCTGCATGTTTCCCCAAGGTGCTAGTCCACACACACCCCATTTTCAGCCTGT